TTAAGATTTGAGATGTGAGTGTTCCATTTTAGGTTTTCTTGAATTGTTAGTCTGAGGAAGGTAGTTTCTGTAACTATTAATTTTAACTTGTCATGGATCTTTCAGGCAAAAATATTTTCAGATAATCATTACAATGAATAAAATTGAATTGCAGCATGAGCAGCATTTTTAATTTCCCCTCTTAAAATGTCTCTCTGGATATGCCCCTAGTAACACCAGTTCATTAACTAATACCGCATATTGAAATTAACTTGTTATTCAGTTAAATACATATTACTAATAATAATCTCTGTGAATAAATTTTAGAATTAATTATGTTCATGACACAAGAGAGAAAATACAATTCACCAGTGGTGTTCAACAGCAAAAAATGCTGCTGAACAAAATCACACAAAATGTTTTTCAAAAAAACATTCCCACTGATCCAGAGTAACAAATAAATTTCTCTCTTAAAACATTACAATAAATTAAATGCTACCAAAAACAATTTTCATAAATACTGCAATAATATAGTATGGTTTATATTCTATACAACAGTTGTTTACAAGCCAAGATTATAATATAATAGGCACTTCTCACATGGTTGGAGATTGCAAAGTTTTCCTTCAAATTCTGCATGTATAGGAAATAAGTAATACAGATATTTCAAAGAGAATTTCAAATTGCATTGGCACCACCTTTTTGTGTGCAAACAAAACATGAAAGTTTACCTTCATTACGTTAAATGTAACAGAGATTACTTAGCATTAGACTTCAAAAAAATAGTTTTTGTAATTTGTACAAAGCAGATAAATTTCACAAACAAAAATTTAAAAAACTTTATTTTCATAGGCAATGATATTGTTAGCATGTAATTTGTAATTTTGTAATTAGTAAATTTTTAGCATTTTTGTAAGTTTAATTTTGTGTTAATTGTGTTTTTGCTGATAAATGAATAAAGGTAAGAAAAATGGATTAATTAATGATATAAAATAAAATTACTATACAATCGAATAAATAATTGCATTAATTAGAAACACAGCTTATAGGCCTATAACTATGTTACTGAGAAACTGGAAAAGGAAATTTAGACAAGGAATACAGATCACAAAAGACAAGATGATCACAATCTTGCATGCTGATGACAAAACTATCATATGGATTGTGAAGATAATTTACAAAGAGCAGGTTTTGAATTAACAAAAGTGTCCCAAAAGTATTTTACAAAGATAGCAGTTTAGAAAACAAAAGTTATGGCATTACAAGGCAAGGAACAAAGCCAAAATAGTAATATATGGAAAATTAGTGGAACAAGTAAATACATTTTCATCCCTTGGAAATATCATAAGTGTATACAACCAAACTCAGGAAAGCACAGAAAACTAACTTAAGAACTACAGTAGAATATGTGGAACAATTAAGAGATATTTTGGCAGAGGCATGGACCAAGAAACAAAACTGAAACTCCAAAATATAGTTGCTAAACCTAGAATCATGTATGACTCTGAAACATGGGTAATGAAAGAAAGAGACAAACAAAAACTATAGTGCACATCTGAGATTTCAAAGACACCTCAAGGGAATCACAAGAAGAGACAAGACTAAGAAATAAAGACATCAGAAAGAAATTAAAAACCATATGTTAAGTAGAAGAGGTAGAAGGTCAAAGGAGAGGTCAAAGGAGATGAAATGATTATTTACAGAGAATGCACA